TCCAGCACCCCCGCCCCGCCCGCCCCTTCACTAATAAACTTTTTTTTTAAGTCTACCTCTGTGGCATATACAGGCGTAGGAAGCTGGCCTGCCCAGTGTGGCCCTGGGTCCTGGGCCCTGCCTCAGAGGCTCCGCCCAGGCTGGCTCTCCCCCCGGCAGTGGACAGACCCCAGGGAGGTACCCCACTTGCTGAGAGTCCCTGCACGCACGGAGCTTAGAAGCAAACAATCATCACGGCCCTTTATTGGCAGAGCCGGGCTCTTGCCAGCCCCTCAGCCTGCCCATGAGCACGGACTCCTCCAGAACCCTCACCAGCTGGAAGGTGGAGGGGCAGCTGGGGCAGGTTTCAGAGGCCGTTCACTGCCCCGTGGTGCTGGTCCAAGGGAAATGACAGTTTGGGAAGAGGGCAGGGCAGTGAGTGAGGCGGGCTTGGGATCGGGACCCACAGGCAGCCACTCGGAGACGGGGGCCCTGTCCGCGCCTCCGTGAGGGTCACTCCTTGTGCAGGCACCACACCAGCGTCTGGCCCACCCCTGTCATGCTCAGCACACGGAAGCCCCTGCGCTCCAGCTTGTCCAGGACTATTCGAGGAGGGTCGCTGACGTAGTACTCGTAGCTGCGAACAGATGGAGAGGGGCAGCGTGAGGGGGTCACCGTGCAGGCGTCCCCTACAAAGCTAGTACCTGCTGAAGGCCACACCCGGTCAGGATGCTCGTGACAGTGACTGATACTGGCTGGTGTCTTCCAGGTGCACGTTCCCTGACCCTCCCCTGCGACCATTAGCTCCTTTATTCCTCCCAACACCCTGAGGAAGCCACCATTACTGTTTCCATTTTGTAAATGAGAAAACAGAGGGCTTAGGTGGCTTTCCCAAGGTCATAGACGGGGCTGACAGCCCCACGTGCCCTAGGCTGCTCCCCAGGGTCCTCACCTAGCCTCCGCCCCTCCTGCCTAGCCTGTCCTACAGTCCTGGGGCCATGGCTTGACCCCCAATAGTTCCTGACTCTGGGCGCCTCTCCCCAGCACAGAGAATGCACTTTTCCTTCTTTCAGGGTGAATTGATTCTAAAGGGCCATCACATAGGTAAAGGGCATGAACTCCAAGCTGGGCATCTCCAGATCAGTGCTCATGGCAAATGGATGGGGTTGGCTTCCGCCCTCCCACCCTGACCCAAGGGGCTGACACCAGCTCGCCTCCTCTTTGCTGCTCCCTTTGAATGGAGCTCGTTCTGGGGACCCTTCTAAGGAGTTCCGCCTGTGACGCAGGTTCTCCCTGCCTCTGGGGCATGAATGGGGAGGGGCAGACAAGGAAGCAGCACTCAGTGTGCAAGCTCAGAACTAGTGTGAAGAAAAGAGGAGGCCGAGTACGCAGGCTGCTGGCTGAGCTGCAAGTAGGGCCCAGGCTGCCCGCTCCCTGCTATAGGGCTTAGCTTTGTTAGCCAGCCAGCCCTTCAAGACAGAAACCTTTTCTCTGTGCCTGTCTTTGCCACGTAAGGTCCAGCTTGGAGATAGGGGCAGAGCAAGGAATAGTTTACGTCCATAGTCCTATCTCTAGGACTGGACTCTGTCCTGGGACTTTGTCCTGGGACTTGACTTTGTGAGCTCCCTTATGAAGGGAGGGCAGTGGGAGAGCCTCAGAGCCCGCCTGGGGGGCTGTGAGGCTGCAGGCGGACTGGCCCTGTAAGAGGGCAGCGCCCAGGAGGCAGGCAGGAGGTCTGAGGTTGGGCAGTGGCATTGTCCCTCGTCTTGGTGGTGTGTGACGGGGACGGACAGGTCCAGGGGAAAAGATACTTACGAATGCAACTACTTACAAGTTGTTCCCCAGGACGCCTCTTTTTGAGGCCCCCAAATGCTCCATCAGCTCTGGATCGGAGTACTCATCGCCCACCATGGTGGGACCCACCTCCTGCAAGGTAAGCCACAGGGATGCTTGGCTGGCGGCCAGGTAGAGGTAGCCGGTCTTGCCGCTCCTTCCTCCCTGCCTGCTGGTCCTGAGCCAGCTTAGATAAAGGTTGGAGGGTTGGTGAGCGCCTTGAGGGCTGGGAACACTCTGGAAAAGGTGAAGCCAGACAGTGTGAGGCTTCTCTCACCTCCAAGAGGAGCTGGGCAGTGTCTGAGCTGGCACCTACGTGCCTGGCACCACCCACCACCGTGTTTGGTGTGTGTCACAGTCAGCTGGAGAGGAGAGAAATGAAAGCCTGGCCACATAAAATCTTGAACGGCAATGTCGGTAGCAGTGTTATTCATAATCCTCAAAAGTGGAAACAGCCTAAATGTTTTTCGGCTGCTGATGGGTAGATGAAATGTGGCATATCCATATGATGGAATCTTATTTGCAATAAAAAGGAATGAGCACTGAGGCATACTGCAATGTAGGTGAACCTGGAAAACCTTACGTAAGTGAAAGACGCCAGATATGTGACCACATATTAGGACAGAGAGTAGATTAGTGGTTATCTGGGGCTGGGGGCCTGGGGGCGGGCGGTGATGAGAAGTGACTGCTAAGGTGATGGGGATGTTCTAAAATTGATTAGGATGATGGTTTTGAATATGCTAAAAAAAAAAAAAAAACCAGTGTTGAATTGTACACATTAAATTGGTGAATTCTGTGGTTTGTGTATTATATGGCAATAAAGCTGACCTATTTTTAAAAATCACCTGAAGAGCACTGAATCCCCATGCCCCGGGCTTAGAGTGTGTTGAGAGGTCTGGGAAGGGGCCCAGGAGCCCACATTTAACAACTGCGCAAGTGACTGGTTCTCAGACCACTGCCCGGGGCACGGCCAGGACCCGTCCTGGGGTGGCCGCCAGTTTCCCTCACACCCAGGGAGCTGCTTACCCGACGGGGCACAGCCTGGGGAGTGAAGAGGCAGAGGAGCATCCTGCCTGGCCGAGGACCCAGTCATATTCCGAAGCTAAAAAGGCTCCCCCCCCCTCCCCCGGGCAGCCAGCACCTTCTTAGGCAGGAAACTGCCCCCGCCCCCCAGGAGGGTGACTTTTGACTCCTGAATGGTGTTCCCCCCTTTATTCTTTTTCTTTTTGTTTTTTTGTTTGTTTTCTTAATATCCTCACCCGAGGATATTTTTCCATTGATTTTTAGAGAGAGTGGAAGAGAGAGGGAAAGACAGAAATACCGATATGAGAGAAACACATGGATTGGTTGCCTCCTGCACACGCCCAGACCAGGGCTGGGGCTGGGGAGGAGCCTGCAAAGAGGTATGTGCCCTTGACCTGAACGAACCCAGGACCCTTCAGTCCGCAGGCCGACTGGCTAGGGCGCCTCTTCCTTCTTGAGCAGGAAGAGTTTTGTTTTTTTCTTTTCCTTTCCTAAGGCCTTAGGGACAACTCTACCTGGAAGTGCTTAAGGGTGCAGCTAGCGGCCGGGGTGGGTCAGGCACTGGGCACAGGTGTTTCAGCATCTTAGCCCGTCCTTTTCCAAACCCCTCTTCCTCAGGTTACTACGCCCCGCACCCCAATCCCCTGCGGAGCGGCTCCGTGTAGGGCAGTGGGTGTTGCACGTGTGAGGCCAGGGTTTCCCGTGGGCAGGTGGGAGCAGCCGCAGAGCCCATGCTCGCTGGGTCGCGGGGGCGCCAGGCCGGCCAGAGCCATGAGCTCCGCGATCTGGGCAGAGTCGGATCCCCAGCCTCCCGCCCCGAGGCCCGAGGGGGTGTGTCCGGACACTTTCCGGCCCTGCACCGCGGGCGCTGCCCAAGAGGAAGGCGCCCAAGTGCGGCCGCAGTCCTGAGGCCCGGCGGCCCCCACGCCACTGGCCGGCGGGTACTCACCATGCGGATCTGGGTGCTGATGAGCACGTAGGGCATGGTGCCGCTTCCCGGCCAGACTCCCAGCGAGGGCTTGGGATTCGGTGTCCACGCCAGCCCCTCGGTTCGGGACTGCGATCGGTCGCCCCGGGTCCGTACTCCGGCTCCGGCCTCTGGCTCTGCCAGTGTCGGAGCGCCCGGCCCGTGACCGTGGCGGCGGCCAATCAGGAGCGGGCGCCCGTGACGCCCCGGCCCCCGGCGATTCAGGGCCCACCCCTCCCCGGGGCTGTGGGGGCCGCTCGGGCACCCGCTGCCCGGAGGCGCCAAGCGTTGACCTTGCGCCCTCTGCCTGCAACACCGCCGGGAAGGTTCAAAGTCCGGCCGGCCTCCGTCCCGCGAAGCCTCCCAAGCGCCGGCCGCGGCACCCAGGGGCGCCTCTCACTTCCCACCCGCAGGACTCGTCCCCCGGAGTCTTCGGAGGAAATTCAGGGGGAGGAGGCTTGTGGCTGCAGCTGAAGCACCGCCTGGGGTGCGCGCGTGTCCGCCGCCCTAATTCCTAGCACTATGGCTGCACCTTGCATGTCTGGGCGCTGTGGGTAAATCTGTAAAGGAACTGAGCGCTTGGCTACGTGCCAAGCCTGGAGGGACTTGAACCAACAGAATTTGGCCTTCAGTTCGGAGAGATTTCTGCGAAGCTAGAGAGACTGGCACAAGCAGAGATCACAAGGCAACACCTGGGGCAAAGGAAACCACTTCCCCGCACGAGTCATCAGGGAGAGGGCCGCTAGTTCACTCCGTGCGTGCACGCCCTCATCTGGGTGTAGCAAAATCTGACAACTCAGCATTCTTTGTCTTCTTGTGATTGGTTCTTTGAAAATAAATAAAGCAAAACGTACCTGGCTGGTGCGGTTCAGTGGTTAGAGCGTCGGCCCCGCTGACCAAAGGGTTGTGGGTTCGATTCCCCATCAAGGGCAGGTACCTGGGTTGCCGGTTCGATTGGGGGACAGGCTGTCCCTGTGTCTCTCACGTGGATGTCTCTCCCCCTCCCTCACTCCCTAATGGAAAAGATATCCTCCCATGAGGATTAACAACAAAAAGCAAACAAAACAGCCTGTAACCTTCCAGGCCAGCGATTGAAAACCCCTGACTTTACTGAAGGGCTCGGAAATGTGAAAAGAGCTGTACGGGAAATGGGGAGTTATAATTCTCCAGGATTCTTTTTTTTAAAATATATTTTATTGATTTTTTACAGAGAGGAAGGGAGAGAGATAGAGAGAAACATCGATGAGAGAGAAACATCGATCAGCTGCCTCCTGCACACCTCCTACTGGGGATGTGCCTGCAACCCAAGTACATGCCCTTGCCCGGAATCGAACCTGGGACCCTTCAGTCCGCAAGCCGACGCTCTATCCAGTGAGCCAAACCGGTTTCGGCACCAGGATTCTTATTGGTCTAATTTATTTTCTGTACCCTCCACTATCCCCCAGGGTTAATAATCTAGCTAAAGAGATAAGACAGACATATTCATGCTTAACAAAGGATTTGTTAAATTGTCAAAGGATGAATGCCCAGGACATATAAAGAACTACAAATCAATGAGAATAAGATAAATCAATAGAAGAAACATTGGGCAAATGACTAGGCACTTTTCAAGCGGGAATGGGAATGGCCAATAAGCATATAGCATGATGTTCAATATCATTAGAAACCCAAGGAATGCAAATTAAGCTACACTTTAAACCACAATGACATACTATTTTAATGATTTGCAAAAAAACATAAGTGAACATCAAGTATTGGTGAAGGTATCTAACAAACGGAAACACTCCCGCCTGTTGGGACTGCAAACTGCAATTACGTGCACATTGGAAAACAATTGGGCATCATCTGGTGAAGCTGAAGATGTGCATTCCCTGTGACCAGCCTAGCCTCCCACAAAAACCTCAGGAGAGCTCACTGACACCACCATGGGAATACATGCACAGAATATTCCTAACAACACTGCCTGTAACTAGCAAAACACTGGGAACAGCTCTGTGTCCATCAAAAGTGGAATATGTTTTTGGTTGATTCCGTAACAAAAGTTCCAGAAGAAATTAAGAGAGTTTTATTCCTATGTGACTTGCAAATCAGACAACACAGCTCTAAGTATAAACCAAAGACACGCTCGGAGGTGGGAGGAGGAGAACAGAGTTTTTAAAAGATAGAAGCTCCTAGAAGCTGATCATCGAAGAGATGGGTTTTAGGAGAAACAAGACCATAAACTTACATCATTTCTCAATTGGTGGAGGCAACTGGACTTTCAACAGTGGCCGACTCAGGGCTCAGCAAGTGGGGCTGTGATACAAGAACAATGGGTAACCGAAGTTGGGCATTTGTCAGTGTTCTACTTGTAGAACAAAAGCTTTGGGTTACTTATCAACAGAAATCAAAACGGCATGGAAAGACCTCGTTCTGCAGGCAGTTTTCAAATCCAAGGCCGAGAGCCGTGCTCTAGAAGCGGCCTCAGACTTCAAACTGCAAAACTCCAAATGTTGGGCCACCAGTTATGATAGAAGCCCTCGATCCATAAGATGGAAACTATAGCGATGAAAATGCTCAGTGAAAAAGCAAACCTTGAAAAAAATATAGAAAGCAAACCTTGGGAAAATATAGAACAATTCTATTTACGTGAAGTTCATGAACTTGCAAAACTCGGCAATATACTGTTTGGAGATAAAAACAGGGATGGTCAAATTCTAAAGAAAAGTGAGAGAATGATAATGGTTAATTCGGGGTAGGGGTTATCTTGGAGAGCAGGGAAAGGGTTGGGATGGGGGAAGATGCAGGCGTTTTAAATGGCAAAAGTGAAGAGTCCTGAGCAAGTGCTCCCTGCAGAGTGTAGGACCCCCAGAAACCTCTCACTGCTCCTGGCACTGGTGCCAGGTGCCAGAGCCGCGCACGGTCGGAGTCAGGCCAGCTGGACCGAGAAGAGGACAAACATGCTCCCAGGGATCACCCCACAGGCTTCCTCTCCAGCCTCCTGAGGACCGGGCTGCCTGAGCGAGCAGAGGCTGAAGGTGTTCGGTGGGGCTCTCCAGGAGGCACTAAGCACTACAGATACCACTGGTTTTCCAAGAAGCTGTCCAAGGGCTCTGGCTACCGCTGCACCCGCATCACCCACAAGATGTGGTTCCCCCATCATCAGCAAGGTGGCAGCCAGATCGGACTCAGCCAGCCCCGGCTGCCCGGCTACTGCCCTGAGAGCCATCCTCCTGTGAGGTGTCCTACCGAAGGTGGGAGGATGGCTCATCTGCGTCCTGTAGGAGGAGGCCCTGCTGATCGCCTCCTATGGGTTCCTCGCCTGCAAGAACCAAATGATGCTGAGAGCAGCCCCTGCAAGAACTACGGGATGGCCTCTCCAGGGAGCTGCCCTGCCAGCCCCACCCCACCCACTGTACCCTCCTGCCGCGACAGCAGGCCAGGCCACAGCATACCTCAACCTGGGGACTGTACTTTAAATGAAGAGCTATTCATATATCAATATTGATATATCTATATCTATCTAACTATCTATCTATCTAATTTTTGTTGTTGTTAATCCTCACCTGAGGATATTTTTCCATTGATTTTTAGAGAGAGTGGAAGGGAGGGGGAGAGACAGAGAGAGAGAAGCATCAGTGTGAGGGAGACACATCGATTGGTTGTCTCCTGCATGTGCCCCAACCAGGGGCAGGGGTCGAGCCTGCAACCGAGGTACGTCCCCTTGACCGGAATTAAACCCAGAACCTCCAGTCTGTGGGCCAAAGCTCCATCCATTGAGCCAAACTGTCTAGGACTATAAACATAGAGACAGAGATAGAGACAGAGATAGAGACAGAGACAGAGGTAGAGAGATACAGAGATAGAGGTATGGTTTTTTTTTTTTAAGAAAAGGGGAAAAAAGAAACCTAAAGGTTTTTAAAAGAAAAAAGTTCTTTAAGGTGCTGCTTGGAAACGACCTCCAGGTGCCTTTGGAGAGAGCTGCACGTTCAGTCTGGGAGCCAGTGTCTGCCTATGGGAGGGGGGGCGGTTAAGGCTGGGCCCGACCGAGTGATGTGGGAGAAGCTTGGCCAGCACCTCGAGAAGATGTGAGAGCGCCCCGGCCGGTTTGGCTCAGTGGATAGAGCATAGGCCTGCAGACGGAAGGGTCCAAGGTTCAACTCCGGTCAGGGCACATGCCTGGGTTGCTGGCTTGATCCCCAGTGGCGGGTGTGCAGGAGGCAGCTAATCAAGAGCTTCCCAGCCAGGAATCTAAAGCTTTTGGTTTTGGGGTCAGGGCAGTGAGGCAGGGGTTGGAGGTACTCGGGCTGCGATAGAAGGGTATTTTGCTTTGCGATGTGCACTGTGTGTGCCAGTGTGGTGAATAACTGGGGGGAATTTACAATAGAATTTTAGGGCCCACCGAGTATCCACTGGGTACTTTTTTCTTAGGCCCAAACCCTCCTTTTTGGAACCACATCAAAGTCCTAATGCTGCTGCCATTACCCCTCTGAGAGCTGGCACAGAAGCTCCAGGCCCTTGTTACTGCTTCTTTTTAAAGCACAGCACTTCTCTCTGCCTCCTCCCACTCCTCTCTGCTCAGGTTGGGTCAAGGAGCGACCCTGTTCTCTAGGAGAGTTCTCAGTCACTGTGCAATATGGCCTCCTGGTCGTGTGCGTGTGTGTGTGTGTGTGTGTGCGTGTGACTGCCATTATCCCTCTGAGAGCTGGCACAGAAGCTCAGGGAGCTCCAGGCCCTTGTTACTGCTTCTTGTTAAAGCACAACACTTCTCTCTACCTCCTCCCACTCCTCCCTGCTCGGGTTGGGTCAAGGAGCGACCCTATTCTCTAGGAGAGTTCTCGGTCACTGTGCAATATGGCCTCCTGGTCGTGTGTGTGCGCGCGGGTGTGCGCGTGCGTGTGTGTGTGTGTGTGTAGAACTGGCCCTCAGAACCTCCTGAGCTCTGATGGGCTGAGGGAGCCGTCTCTGTATGCGGGCCTGTGGCCGGCTGCTCGGCCTGGCAGGGATCCCTGGCTGAGCGGGAGAAAGCCCCGAGTTCTGCAGGGTTCATTGTGTTCTTGCAGGGCTGACACTACAAACCAGACCTGGGGCGTTGTTTTCCCCCCTGGTGCTCAGAGCGCCCCTGGCAGAGGTTGCTGTCTCTCTCAGTGCAATGCGACTTTGTCTGTAGACTTGTGCAATGTTTACTGTTCTGAGTTGAGAAAAATGGGAAACTGCCTTTGGTTTCTCAGTGACATTAGGAGGGTGCTCAGAAGGCCTTCAGTTTCTCAAACCTCAATCCCCTTTAAAAGGGCGTAAACGTCGGGCTGATCTGCCCGCCCTCCTTCCACTGCCTTTGGATGGTGGTCTTATCCCTGTCACTGACCTTGAAGGCAGCAGCTGTCAACCCCGTCCATCTCATGGCACACATAGACAAGTACTAAAATTCTGCAGCACACCAAGTGACATATTATATTTTTGGTCGATCTGGCAAAAAAAAAAAGGTATGATTTTGATTCATTCAGACTGGACAGCTATTGTTGTATTGGCTGTTGTAATTTTTTATTTGACAATCTAAGGGAAAAAAGGTCAGTGCTCCTAACTAAATAGGTATTGCAGGTTTAAAAAAATAGATATGTATATTTTTTATTGATTTCAGCGAGGAAGGAAGACAGAAAGAGAAACGTCAATGATGAGGGAATCATTGATTGGCTGCCTCCTGCACGCCCCGTACTGGGGATCCAGCCGGCAACCCAGGCATGTGCCCTTGACCGGAATTGAACCCGGGATCCTTCAGTCCACAGGCCGATGCTCTATCCACTGAGCCAAACCAGCTAAGGCAGGTTTTAAAAATTCTTGTGGCACATGGGTTGAAGATTGCTGTCCCGAGGCATCGGACATGTCGCCTCTTTTGGATGAGCCGGGTAAGTGAAGGTGTCCTGTTCTGAGAGCAGAATAGGAGTGTGGGGTCTGTCTGCTCTCCTCTCCTCCTCTCCTCCTCTCCTCCTCTCCTCCCCTCCCCTCCCCTCCCCTCCCCCAGCCTGGGCTGTGGGATGTGGGGAGGAGACAGAGGCCAGTGCACATCTCAGGCTGCCAGGGCTTTATTACACTTGAAAAACTGGTCTGCAGATGCAGCATAAGATAGAGCTTTATCAGGAACCACCCACCCCACTGCTGATTGCCCTGGCAGCCTCACCCAGATAACATCTTTAATATCCAGAGGGAAATGAATTCCCTCGCTTGGTCTGCCCATCTGGCCTTGCCTCTTGCCGTAGTCAGTTTATCTGGCAGATCTTCCTCCCCTGTAAATAGAGGAGAAATTGTGCTTTCACAACACAGCTTTTCATTAAAGTGGCAGGGCCTGGGCATTGTCATTCCTTCTTTCCTTCCTTCCTCTCTTCAGCTTTTATGGATGGCTTCTGCATTAGAGCTGTGCGAGGCACGGTGACATGGAGATGAATCAGGCATGCACCCCGGCCTAGAACAGTGAGCAGTCCAGTGAGGTTGTCAACGTAAGAAACATTCAAACCCATAGAGAATTTTTGTGAGTTCATCTGAGGCAAACTGTTGACAATTACCAGGAAGCAAAATCTCAATGGATTGAGATAACGCTCTGGAGAACGGCAGTTTTGCACCTTATA